CACCCATCCCACAGTTCCTCGGTCCCCTCCACGCCCTCGCCACAGGAAAGTGCCGACTCGATGGATCCCTCATGTCTTGACCGATAGCACGCGGTTCAGGCGGATACCCATTTGTCAGTTTCTCCTTCTTTGCCCGCACCGAAAGGAGTTTTTGGAAGGCATGATTACGAGAGATGAGAGTTGGGTCCTCTACGATTCTAACAAGCACAGTGCCGTGTGGCTCCCTCGAGGAGAAGACCCGCCGACACAAGCAAAATCGGACCTTCACCCCAAATGTCTTCTTTGCTGCCTCTGGGATTCGTGAGGAATGTTGTATTATGAGCTGCTCCCGTAAGGACATACCGCTACCGGCAGCATTTACGCCAGTCAGCTCCAGAAACTAGCGGACGCTGTTCAAGAAAAACGACCGAGACGAACTTCTGTCCACCTACTCCACGATGACGCCAGGCCCCACATAGCTAAAGAGACCCGTGCAAAATTGGAAGAGCTGATCTGGGACGCGGTTCCCCACCCACCCTATTCCCCTGACATTGCCCTCTCTGACTATCACTTAAGGCATTCCTAGCGAAGAAAAAATTCACCAAAGTTGAAGACGTTGGAAGAGCGGTCAGCGATTTCTTTGACTCTCAGTCTGCTCAGTTCTGGGAGAAGGGGGTCGCTGACCTGCCCATTAGGTGGGACTCTGTAGTGAGTAACAATGGTGATTATATTGTTGAGTAAATTCCATTGTACGCGGAATAAAAAAGTAAAGAAAAAATGTCAAACGGCTCAGGACTTTCTTACCATCCTAATAAAGTCACGTGTCTCGTGTATAACATAAGTGAAACAAAACGAATGAAGTAAAAATGAACGTATTTTGCGAACTAAGCCACTTAAAGTTAGAGTAGCGTGGCAAATAGGATAACGAACGGTTTAGGCAAAATACGATGAAGAACTGCAACGCCTCAATCCTGTACTCCATTTGAGAATGACGGATTTCCGAAGAATTTATCGAGAAATCGAGGCACGAGACAAGAACGCTTTGCACTTCATCGATACTGTGAGTGTAATGCTGTCGCATGGATATCCCAACGATGATGTTTTCACTTGATTTCCAGGTACTTTTAATCGCCCGGCAGGCGAGGAATCTGGAAGTCACAAGACGGCTGGAGACTAAGACGTGAGTGTTGCCTGTAACAGCATCTGACTGCTACCGCATTTTCTCCCATTTTTTCATTTTTTTCCTATCATTTTAGGATTCTGGACAATTTCAAAGCATTACCGCAGAGTTCAAGGGATTATCTTATCATGAAATTCCCACCACTTAAATTCCTTGGTAAGTGTTTGCAAAGGATGGCAATAGCAATATTTTAGACCGTTTTCACTTTTCCAATAGCTACTTCTACTCTCACGAGCTCACACAAAGAACTGCAAATGTATTCTTCCTGACTTTCATTGCAGACTCATCTTTCACTGAGAAGCCGCCCGGATCGGAAACCTCCACATCTCAACCTTCAGCGACGAGAACTCCCATTTTTTCTTCTGTGGCTACAACGATAACATCGCCACATGTATGGAAGGCTGAGATACAGAGGTTGTTGGAGAGTGCTAAACAAGAGCTGAAGCGGGCCCGCAAAGGATTACCTTCAGTTGACCTCTACACCAGGTCTTGGATCCTGTAGCGATTGCTCGACCAGTCTCATGTGAACGCTCTTCTCGGCCCTGTAGACTTCAAAAACGTTTTCGGACTATACAAAACGGCGGCCGAGCGCTTACTAGTGTGGTGCGGTCGCCTAGACCCTGTGCCATGCAAAAGCGTTAGTGAGAGGTTGCAGCAATCGCTAAGAGGCACTCTCAAAACCTGGGCCGTGCCAAGTAGATCCGACAAATTCAATACCTACAGCGATTAAGTTCCTGATTACTCCATGCAAGTTACTACTTCTAAGGGGTGGAATGAACTGCTAGAAAGCATAAAAGCTTCTGCGGGCTCGGCATAAGATCGAGCTATTCCCCGAAGGTACGCTTTGTAGTCAAACATTCACGTTTAGCTGAAGATTCTAGCGACCTGCTTTTTCATGATCGCTTTTTAACTTAAGATTTCTTCAATAAATTCTTTTTTGCTTTCACATTCCATTCTCCCATGATGTAGCAAAAACTTCTTTTTTTCCTGCGAAGCGTAACACCTTGACCTGAGAAATTGCATTTCGGCCTCGCAACTAGCAGCAAAATTGCAGTTGAAAGTCTGGACATTTGAAAGCTCGATACTTGATGAAAGAAGCGACTAGCCTCCTGATTCTGCAGAAAAAATCAAAGCGACTAGAAAACTTTGGTGTTTCCTAAAGAACGTATGTACCCCTGACAAAAAGAAAAAAAGATGTGAGCCTCCAAAGAGGGTCAAAACCAGTGCAATCTGCTATCATCAAAATTTGAAATGTGCGCATAAGCCAGCAGCTATCATCAAAATTTGAAGGGTGCATAAGCCACGGGCTAATTATCGACTACCCTAATTCACGATGGACAAGCTCAGGCTTATATTGGGTTGTCCGGAAAGTTTCCGCCGATTTTGACTCTCAAATTCAAAAGCGCATATCTCGGTTCAAACAAAGCGCCTTTGCTCGAAATAAAAACTATTACAATCCCCATACCTTTGCCTACAAGAAATGAGTTTAACTGATCCGGATGTTGGAAGTGCTGGAGTTCTGTGAGCTAAGAACTCGGCGAAGGTCGTTTCACCACCATGTTGGGTTTCAATGCTCAATCTTTCTCAGTAGACCTTCCAGATGGTTGGAAAGGTGATAGGCAATAGGTTTAGTGTGTAAAATGTTAGCAGCACAATTTCGTAGCTCAGCTAGTTCAAGTGTAGTTCAACTTGGAAGTCCGAGATGGGGTTGTGCAACAGTGGGTAGAAGAGCCGGCGGCACCCAATTTTCGACTTCTTTGGGCTTTTTACCCTCACCGCTATGTTTGGAAATCTTATGTCGGTTACGCCCAATTCAGAAGCAGCCTGTTCAACAGTTTCATGCAGATTTGGTTGGTCAAAACCCTCAGCTGATCTTTATCAGTCTCCGATATCACTAATCTCCTTCGAAGCTTTCAACATCGCGAGAAAGACATTTTGAATTACGACTGCACAGCGTATTTTTTGTGGACTCTGAACCAAATGCTTAGTTGATATCGCAACTTGCTTCCGCACATTTCCGAGCAAGTTTGAGGGGAAACAAGAAACTAGTGCAAAGCAGGCTGTTGAGTATGTTGTATTCAAGACTTCAAAAAAAGTGGAAAGGTGATTCAGTGTTGAAAAAACAGTAGATTTGGATAGAGCGAGGAACGCGCTTTCTAACGATATATAAAGTGTTAGCAGTTTCTTGAAAGTGACCCAGAAATAAAGCATTCAAAAGTGAGCTACAAAAACGGCGGAAACTTTCCGGACAACCCAATACATCATGAGGGCTTATACGTAGGGAGAGTTTATGTACCGTAAATCAGGGTGCTTTTTTAGTGTGTTGGCTACTACGGGATTCTTTGTTGTTTCCGGAACAGGGTCAACCCCCGTTGCGCAAAGAACAACGAGGGGGTCGTATTCAGCCGAACCGAAAAGGGAGGGGGTCGTATCCAGAAAGACGGGCTGCAAGACGGCTTGAAAAGTGCAGTGTCCGGGAGTGCACTTTCAGCCTCTAATGTTCTCCAGGAGCTCTGC